TTTTCTTTGAGATATGCCTTGAACAAATTTGGCTGTTTTAATGACATTTAAGGAGGGAGTTAGAATTAAATGTGTCAGCAGCATGATCTTCCACCGTGGATAGATTTTTAAAATTTCAGTAAGTTTTTTGGGGTGCCTAGGTGGCTCAGTTGGTTAAGTGTCAGATGAGCTCATGATCTTGGGGTCCTGGGGATCAAGTCCCATGTTTGGCTCTGCACTCAGCAGGGAGCCTGCTTCCCCTCTCCCTCTGCCCCTCCCCATGCTTGTCTTCTCTCTCTTTAAAATAAAATCTTTAAAAAAATTCATTAAGTTTATTTCTAAATGTTGTTTTGGCTTGTTTTTAAAGTTTGGTCTTTTCTGCTGTTCCTGTTTCTTGCTTACTTTTTGATTCCGTTTTTTTCCTTAAAACCTATCATATACATTTATAATCTGGATGTGGCAATTTCTGTATCTCATATTGTCTTTTGGAGTCTTTATGTGCTGCTTATTTTGGACTCGTTCAAGTGGCTTGTTTCCTTGTGAATTTAATAATTTTGTGAGCTCATATATGGGTGAGCTTAATCTGGGACAGCCTTGAGGTTCTAAATCAGGGGCCAGCAATCTATGCCCCAAGGGCAGCTGGGTCCATTACCTGCTTTTGTAAATGTTCTACCAGACCACAGCCAGGCCCGTTCATTAGGTACTGTCTGTAACTCCTTTGCACTACAATAGCAGATTTGAGTAGTTGCTACAGACCGTGGATGGCCCACAAAGTAAAAAGTATTTACTTTCTGCCCTTTACAAAAGAGTGTGCCAACTTATCTAAATTATGGATATTTGCTCCAGAGAAGATGTATATTTGCTTCTGCCAGGACCAGAGATGGGGGGGGAATCTCATGACCTGCACCAAACTTACCCTTCTTTGAGAACTCACGCCAAACTTATGAGCCCAGTAATAGAAAAAAAGGCCTTCACAGTACCTATTCCACTATATTGCTAGAAGCAGCTATATAATATATTCTCTTTGACTATACTGTTCTAAGACAGTATGGATCTTTTTCATTTAAAGGGTGGATTCTTGGGGCGCCTGGGTGGCTCAGTTAGTTAAGCCTCCGACTATTGATTTCAGCTCTGGTCTTGGTCTTAGAGTCCTGGGATCCAGCCCCGATTAGGGCTCCACACTCAGCGGGGAGTCTGCTTGAGATTCTTCCTCTCCCTCTGCCCCTTCCACCACTCTAGGCAGGCTCTCTCTCAAATAAATAAAAAAATATTTTTAAAAAGGGGTGGATCCTTTCAACCTAGAAACAGACACATGTCCTTTTATGTAACTTTTCTTGTATTATTTAATAATTTCCTTACCTCAAGTCTTTTTTTTTTTTTTTAAAGATTTTATTTATTTTTTTGACAGAGAGCAAGAGAGGGCACAAGCAGGGGGAGCAGGAGAGTGAAGAGCAGGCTTCCCTCTAATCAGGGAGCCCGATGTGGGGCTCGATTCCAGGACCCTTGGACCATGACCTGAGCTGAAGGCAGACGCTTAACGACTGAGCCACCCAGGCGCCCCTCTTTTCTGTTTTCTTAAACTCTAGCTATTAAAATGTTAGGCCTCCTGATTTGATTTTCTAATTTTATTTTTTCTTATTTATCTTTTGGTTATATGTTTTCAGGGTGAGTTCCTCAACAACTTTATCTTCCAACCCTTCTAGTGAATTGGTTTGGCTATCATTTTTAATTTCCAAGGACAGTTCCTTGCTCAAAATGTCCCTTTTCAAAGCACCCAATAAGGTCAACTAATCTTTGACAAAGCAGGAAAGAAAATCCAATGGAAAAAGAGTCTCTTTTCAACAAATGGTGTTGGGAAAACTGGACAACAGCAACATGCAGAAAAATGAAACTGACCACTTTCTTACACCATACACAAAAATAAATTCAAAATGGATGAAAGACCTACATGTGAGGCAGGAAACCATCAAAATCCTAGAAGAGTGCTGAAGCAACTTATTAGACGTGTTGCTGGAGGCAAGAAACAAAAGCAAAAATGTTGGACCTTCATCAAGATAAAAAGTTTCTGTACAGTGAAGGAAACAATCAACAATACTAAAAGGCAGTCTATGGACTAAGAGAAGGGTTAGTATTCAAAGTTTATAAAGAACTTATCAAACTCAACACCTAAAAACAAATAATCCAGTTAAGAAATGGGCAGAAGACATGAAAGACATTTTCCCAAAGAAGACATCCAGATGGTTAACAGACACATGAAAAGATGCTCAACATTACTTTATCATCAGGGAAATACAAATCAAAACCATGATGAGATACAACCTCATACCTGTCAGAATGGCTAAAATAAACAACACAGGAAACAACAGATGTTGGCGAGGATGCGGAAAAAGGGGAACCCTCTTGCACTGTTGGTGGGAATGCAAACTGCTACAGCCACTCTGGAAAACAGTATGGAGTTTCCTATAAAGTTAAAAAGTAAATTACCCTACAACCTGGCAATTGTGCTACTAGGTATTTACCCAAAGGATACAAAAATACAGATTAGAAGGGGTACAGGCACCCCAATGTTTATAGTGTCATTATCAATAGCCAAACTATGGAAAGAGTTCAAATGTCCATCGACTGATGAATGGATAAAGAAGATCATCAAAAAGAATGAAATCTTGCTATTTGTAATGACGTGGATGGAGCTAATGTATTATGCTAAAGCAAAGTAAGTCAGTCAAAGATAAATACCATATGATCTCACTCATATGAACATATGGGAGGGGAAAAAAAAAGAGGGAAATAAACCACAAGAGACTTTTTTTTATTATGTTAATCACCATACATTACATCATTAGTTTTTGATGTAGTGTTCCATGATTCAGTATTTGCGTATAACACCCAGTGCTCCGTGCAGAATGTGCCCTCTTTAATACCCATCACCAGGCTAACCCATCCTCCCACCCCCCTCCCCTCTAGAACCCTCAGTTTGTTTTTCAGAGTCCATCGTCTCTCATGGTTCATCTCCCCTCTGATTTCCCCCCTTCGTTCTTCCCCCCCTTTTTTTTAAACATTTTTTTAATGTATTGTTTCAGAGGTACAGGTCTGTGATTCAACAGTCTTACACAATTCACAGCGCTCACCATAGCAGATACCCTCCCCAATGTCTATCACCCAGCCACCCCATCCCTCCCACCCCCCACCACTCCAGCAACCCTGTTTGTTTCCTGAGATTAAGAATTCCTCATATCAGTGAGGTCATATGATACATGTCTTTCTCTGATTGACTTATTTCACTCAGCATAATACCCTCCAGTTCCATCCACATCGTTGCAAATGGCAAGATTTCATTCCTTTTGATGGCTGTGTAATATTCCATTGTACATATATACCACATCTTCTTTAACCATTCATCTGTCGATGGACATTTTGGCTCTTTCCAGAGTTTGGCTATTGTGGACATTGCTGCTATAAACATCAGGGTGCACATACCCCTTTGGATCCCTAAAATTAACAAGTCAGGAAACAACAGATGTTGGCAGGGATGCGGAGAAAGGGGAATCTTCTTACACTGTTGGTGGGAACGCAAGCTGGTGCAGCCACTCTGGAAAACAGTATGGAGGTTCCTCAAAAAGTTGAAAATAGAGCTACCATATGATCCAGCAATTACACTACTGGGTATTTACACCATAAGAGACTCTTAATGGTAGAGAACAAACTGAGGGTTGATGGAGGGAGGTAGGTGGGGGAGGGGCTGGATGGGGGATGGGTATAAAGGAGGGCACTTGTTATGATGAGCACTGGGTGTTGCATGTAAGTGAATTCTACTCCTGAAACCGATACTGCACTGTATGTTAACTAACTAGAATTTAAATAAAAATTTGAAAACAAACCACCCCTCCTGCCCCCAAACCATCCTGTTCTCATTTAACGTCTATTTTCTTTCAAAATGTTAATTACCTTTGAGGGTGGATATTTTTCTGACCCCTGGATTTATTTGCCTGCCCTCAGCCCTAACAATGTCTGATCTCTTATGTATTGGAGATTTTCCTCAATTATCGGTGATCCTGATTCTAAGTTCAAATTTAATAGTAGGCAATAAAGAGTTGAACAGAAACTGCATGTATACTTCTATGACTTGAAATTAGTGGGCTTCACTGAAGAATGACAAAGGGGCCAGCAGGCTTTTCATCAAGATACAACCAAAAGTGAGTATCTGGAGATCTTTTCTCTAAGACCAATTAATTTCTCTGAAGAAAAAAACCCTGGCAGAGGAGCCTATACCCATGGCCAGCATTGTGGAAACATGACTGTAGAGCCCACATTCAGAATGCAGATTTTCACTTAACCCATATTTTCAACCCCATACGTATCTAACCCAGGCTTTCTGTTATTCCTGGTGCGCTGTTAAGTCTGATCTTCCAGTTCAGTTGCTCAAGAAAATTAACCTCTGGCCCTCTGATCAAAAAGGTAGAAGGACAAAAAGTGGTCAGCTGGCTTAAGTAAGGGCAGGAAAAGGTAATTCAATGATTTTGTACACAGACTTGCAACCAATTTTTTTTTTTTTTAAATGTCCCAAGCATCATCTCGGAATATGAGTACCAGTTCTTCCAAGTACTAAGCATCTTTTCTGAGGATACTGGCCTTTCTCACTGAACTGCCTTTTGCAGGCACTCAGAATAGAGCTTCCTTCGTTCTGGCTCTGCTAATAAGTCAGTTAGTCTTTATCGCATTTTGTTTTCCAAGAATTTACTGAATTCTCTTATCCTTTGATTTCTTGTTTCCTGTCTTATTTATCATTGTGTGGTTACACCTTACTGCTATTTTACTGAAATTTCAGGAGAGAGAAAATAGTCAATCTGCAGTTTTAGAAGAAATTCTTCAAAGCGAATTGGAAATAGTCCTAAAATATTGGATATGGAAATGTTTTCCATGCATTTCCCTTCCTAGTTAATAAATCCTGTTAGAAATTTCTTAACAATAGAACAAATGGATGACAAACACTGAACAAACAGGACTCTGAAGTCAAATAAATGGACATTTTTAATGTAGTTCACATTTTAATATAGTTTTAAAAACACTTCCAAATATAACTACAAATTTAATCAGGACAAATACCTGAAAGGAACATGTATCTTAATTAACCATTAGTACATTATTTTAAAGAATTATTTTCCTGAATCCTTGGCTTACTTCATTGGGTTTATAAAGATATAAACCTACTGATTTTTCCATATGAATTATTTTGTACTAAATGTAGTTTTTCCTAGTTGATAATTATAAATAAACCTGTTGATAAAAATCACATTTTAAATAGGGAAAAAAGTTTCCCTTAATAAGTTGGTAAAGACTGTAAGTTGATACTTTTAAACTTCTGATTTACTATAAAGTAGCAATTTGTAAAATCCACACCCTCCCCTAAATTCAGTTTTTCTATTGCAAAAATCTTTATAAAAAATGTACTCTGAGTGCAATAAAATCTCCATATTTGTTTTTTTTTTTAAATCAACACACAGACATACCAAAATAATTCATCATGACAATCAGAGCAAAGAAAGATTTAACAGTCTCAGTTTTGCTAAGGAAAACATTACTGTGGAAGGCATCCAAGGAGTCTAAAATGGTTTTGCTGTGGCAACAAGGCTTCAGGCTGATGCTCATACTACTGTTAAAACAGCTTTCCCCCCTTTAGAGTGAAATATCAGTGCATATTCCTTTACATATTAAAAAAACTTAAATTTTTAAAAATTATCAATCTGCTTTAAAATAATTGTTTAACTCACCTTGAAAACACAGATTGGCTATGATAAATCCATTATTTAACAAACTGGGTATTTCTAATGACCTAAAAGAAAAGGGCTAAAACTCACTGAAGGTCAGGATGTTCTAATTCAGGTCCGAAAAGAGGGAGAGAAGTCCAATGCTTTTTGTGGAATGGAAGAGCAACAATTTTAATGTCTATTTTAAAATACTGAAACATTTTGGGCTCAGTCTCTACTACTTTTAAAACACAGCAGTAAACCAAAAATATTAAAACATGAACCCTATCTCATTCTCAAAAACAATTTTCTGCTACATACATAAATAAAAAGTGCTTATAACTAATAATATACAACACTAAAAAAAGTCTTGAGATCATGTAGGCTTATGTCTCATTGCCAGCAATGAGACTGGTATATGCTAGGGTGCCGTAATATTTACAAAAGACAAAAAATATATATATATTTAATTAATATTTCCTATGGTTCTAATGTTATCATCATACCATTAAGCATAAAATAATCTTTTACATGGTAATTAAAACAAACAGATTATATTATGGAAGAGTAAACTGCAAGGAAATCCTCCTTAGGGATTTCTGAAGATTAAATGTTTATACTAGTTCATAATGAAAACATGAATAGAACACAATTCTGGAAAAAAAAAAGACTAATTTATTTGTTTTATAAGATAAAATATAATACGTGATCTTAGTTTAGATGCCAAGAAGTGATAGCTTAGGGTGTCATCTTAACCAAGAATAAATTCATAGTATTTCTTAGTCACTTAAGACAGGAAGGGAAATTCTAATTCCTGCCACCTGCCCAGTCACTTCAAAAATTCTTAAGAAGTTAAAATAAAAACACCCTGGGTTTTTGGTTACTCTTTAAAGTCTAAATTTCCTGATACCCTGGAAGCAATGAGTTCAATTTGGTGTCTTCTTGTGTTCTGGGAAACAACAATAAGTTTATACTGACATCTCAGCCTTCAGATGCTGTGACCGATTATTTGTGAGTTATAATCTGCAGGCTCCATTTTTAAAATATGTGGGATGACACTATCAATTCGTACATTGCCAATGAGACCTTTGAAAAACAATTCTTCAGTGATGGTAGCATTCATCAATCTCAAAGCAGGCAATCTGAGTAGCAGTCTGGACAACCTAAAAAGGGGAAGGAAAAACAAGGGTGTAAATCCAAAAGAGATTTAGTAGAAAAATAGAGGAGTAATTTCTGCATGTATATTGGTTGTGGTCTAATTTAATAAAGATCTAATTTTAAAAAGTTAAAAAATAAAAACTTAAGTATTCTCAAGCCTTAGAGGGTATGACAATCATCTGGATATAAATGCAGTCCAACAGACTTGATAGGAAAGCTTTGCTCTTAACTACTATACTGTGTTGCCTCCACTTGGCTGAATGGACCATGGAACTAATAAGTTATTTATTTTAAAAAATATTTATTTATTTTAGAGAGAGCACATGTGCACACACGAGCACTGCGGGGGAGCGGGGAGAGAGGGAGAGAGAGAGAGAAAGAGAGAGAGAATCTCAAGTAGACTCCCCACTGAGCTTGGAGCCCGACACGGGCCCATCCCACGACCCTGAGGGTCATGACCTGAGCTGAAATCAAGAGTTGGACGCTCAACCAACTGAGCCACCCAGGCGCTCCACCATGGAACTAAGTTATTAAAGCACAGATCAAATTATACATTTAAGAATGGCTTAGAGATTCAGTTGAGGTTGTAAGAACAGCAATGTTCTGTGTTATCAGGACACATGGGGCTCAGTGGTAATCAAAAAACAAATGGAAATGGTAAAACAGGCAATAGTTATTACTGGAAAGACTGGGGAAGAGCATAGAATATGGAATCAAGACCACTGGGTTCAAATCTTGATTCAACTACCCCTCCACCTATGTGAACGCGTGTTAGCTACTTACTCCTGGTCTCTCTGTGTTGTGGTAAAGATTAATGAAATGATTCCTGCCAGTTTCTGTGCTACTGAGGATCTTAAAGGCAAAACCATACTTTGCATAAGGTATAAGCTGAAAACTCCTATCCAAAGTTAATTTATTATATTATTATTATTTTTCTAAAAGATTTTATTTATTTATTTGACAGAGAAAGACAGCGAGAGAGGGAACACAAGCAGGGGTAGTGGGAGAAGGAGAAGCAGGCTTCCTGCCGAGCAGGGAGCCCAATGCGGGGCTTGATCCCAGAACCCTGGGATCATGACCTGAGCCAAAGGCAGATGCTTAACGACTGAGCCACCCAGGTGCCCCCAAAGTTAATTTATTATTTTTAAATAAATCAAAATATAAGAAACTGAGAGAGTTCAGAGATCAATCAAAGCACCTGGAACCTACTGGAACAGAGGTCAGCCAACAGCTATATGCCAAGAAGGAGGAAAAATTTAAATACTATATTTGTTTGTACAATGAGGTATAAAACAATTTTAGAGACTTTAAAAAATTGAGAACAATCATAACAAAACCACCCCCAACAAAAAAAACCAACTTTCTGAAAAGCTTGGGTATGTGTATCCCTCTTGTATTCTAAGGCCTTGCACTCTAACATTTGTGACCAATCGAAAACAGGATTAAGTCACCTTTTTTTTTTTTTTTTAAGATCTTATTTATTCATTTGTCAGAGAGAGAGAGCGCACAGGCAGGGGGAGCGTCAGGCAGAGGGAGAAGGATCCCTGCTGAGCAAGCAGCTCGATGTGGGACTCGATCCCAGAACCTTGGGATCATGACTTGAGCCGAAGGCAGATGCTTAATCGAACGACTGAGCCTCCCAGGCATCCCTAGTCACATTCCTATACCCACTAGTCTCCTCTTCAAATTACCCAGTTCCTATTTGTTACCACGTGAGCTGCAGGAATAAAACTGGTAGGAAGCAGGGTAGGAAAACTGGTTAGATAAACTAAAGGTGATTTTTATGATGGAACTGGCTTATAAATCTATTATTTATTATCTGTAAATAATTATTTTATGTAAAACATTCTTTTATTAGTACAAAGCATGTTAATTTAATAATCTTAGTAAACATCTATATAGTCCTTATTATATATTATATTACATATATGTTACACTATATGCAATATGATATACTATACAATAGGCAGTGTTCTAAGCTATTTACATATATCAACTGATTTAATCATTATACTAATTGTGGGTACTATTATCTACATTTTACAGAGAAAGAAACTGAAACACAGAAGTTGAGTAACTTGCCCACAGTCATATAGCTAGTAAGTGATGGGGTCAGGAGTAGAGCCGTGGTATTCTGGCTCTGCCAGCCACGTGCTAGCAGAACTACTCTCCAATACTGTTCCTCTTCAAAAACTGAGTTGGATCTTATTAAAAAAAAATTTCTTTTCAAGGGATATTGGCAAGAAATATCTTGGTAGAAATATCATAAACCAAATTCCTAATTATTTATAAAATAGTCAGATGGTGTTTTTATTCATTCATTCCTGTTTCTTCCCTTTCACTAATAAAATCCTTTATTTGGGGCTCCTGGGTGGCTCAGTCGTTAAGCGTCTGCCTTCGGCTCAGGTCATGATCCCAGGGTCCTGGGATCGAGCCCCACATCGGGCTCCCTGCTCCGCGGGAAGCCTGCTTCTCCCTCTCCCACTCCCCCTGCTTGTGTTCCCTCTCTCGCTGTGTGTGTGTGTCTCTCTCTCTGTCAAATAAACAAATAAAGTCTTTAAAAAAATACAATAAAATCCTTTATTTCATCTGAAGAAAATAGTTTGGGCACTAGAGCCAGACAACCTGAGCTCACAGGCAGGCCCTGCCATCTGTGTGTGACCCTGAGCAAGTTATTTAACCTTTCTGCTCAAGTCTTCTTCTATAAATTGTAAGAAATGCATGAAATACTACCTGTAAATCACTTGCACCAATGCACTACTGCTTTTAATAGGATTAGCTATTTCAAAGGTCCATGCTGACTAAAACACTGATATACTCTTGGAAGGGAAAATAATGAAATAGATTCATAAAAAATTTTAAGATGGATTTAATTAAATAGTATTTAACTTTTAGATACCTGTAGGTGTCATCTGGATATGTTTTGGTTATATAATCTTGGAATTCCACATATGCCTTTTCCTGAAATTTCTCAATTTGTTCCATGTTTTCTAGGCCTGGATGATCTGAAACATTAAAGAATATATTGTTACCCTAGTTCTGAATGTTCATTTAATAAGACACAGAGAGATGAGATAGAAGGGGGTGGGAAGAACAGTTCAGTCAAAAAAAAAAAAAAAAAAAAAGCGCTATCCTATGCGTGGTTCTCTCACTCCACAAATGTATTTAGTAACCCACCTACTAAATGCCAGACACTCTACTTTAAGCCCTTTAAAAAATTTATTTAAAAAATATTTTATTTATTTATTTGAGAGGGAAAGAGAGAGAGTATGAGTGGGGGGGGGGAAGGGCAGAGGGAGAGGGAGAAACAGACTTCTAGCTGAGCAGGGAGCCCCATGTGGGGCTCAATCCCAGGACCCCGGGGATCATGACTGGAGCTGAAGGCAAACACTCAACCAACTGAGCCACCCAGGTGCCCCTGTACTTTAACCCTCATAATGATTTTGTCTCATATACATATTCTAAAATGTAAATAAATGAGATCACTGGTTTCTACTAAAATAGTTTTCTCTATTCCAAAAGTCATGGAAGGGAGTTTGATCATTTTGCTTCAACAGGAACAAAAAATAAAATGACTTAGCTTAGTTAAAAAAGCATTTTTAATCCAATGAAATACCTGCAGATTATATTCTACACTACTTTTTTCATAAGAACCTTCCCATCATTGTTGGGTAAAAAGATACTTCTGAAATTATCAAAGAATGGACAGTATCTCTATAAGAAAAACTGTAACACAGAAACACAAAGTAATCTATATAAACATTTCAATAGTCACTACAAAATTTCACAAAAATGGGAATATTAAGAGAACTTCAATAAAATTATGCCTAACTTAGGCAATATTGAAAAACATGGAAAGCTCTGCTCTGACTAAAGAGAATAAAAAATAAATAGAAAATATTGGGAATACTTAATAAAATTATACTAAATCAAATCTATGTTCTTTCAATTTTAAGGTAAATGAAGGTGGCAAACTGGTTGTGATTAAAATGGAAATACATGTTATTAACTTACGTGAAACTCTTAAGAAACAGGAAAAAAAGCTTTAAGTGTCATATTAGTATCACTGAGTTTAAGAAGCAGGTTTCCTCATATAATTTTATTATGATGCACAGGAATAGACACACCAAAATAAAAAATACAGGGTCTAAGAGAATAGTCAATTTTTCTTATTCATAAATTGATCATTGAGCTGTCATTTTACTGTATGTGAAAGCTAGAAACTGGCAGGAAAATAAGAGACATTTTTCTATTTGTTGGTAACTCTACTAAGATGTTTAGAAGTTTAACCCATTAACAAACCAATACTCACCTTTCATTTGCCTTCTCATCATGCCTACCAAAATATGCCTAAGAATTCAAATATTGATGTGAACATAATTATGTCATTTCAATGATTTCTTCAACTTTCCTTTTCATACCTAGATCAATGTCTAATATCCATAAAATTCACTGATTTAAAGTGTGTAATTCAATAGTTTTTCGTAGATTCAGAGCTGTGCAACCATCATTACAATTGAATTTTAGAACATTTTTGTCATCCCAAGAGAAATTCTGTGCCCATTGGCAATCACCTCCCATGCTCCCCCTCCTTAGTCCCTGGTAGCCACTAATCTAGTTTATGTCTCTACAGACTTGCCTATTCCAGACATTTCATATAAATGGAATCATATAAAATGTGGTCTTTTGTGACTGGCTTCTTTCACTTAGTGTACTGTTTTCAACCACGATGTAGCATGTATCAGAATTTCATTCCTTTTTATGGCTGATACCCCACCGTCTGTAGATATTACATCTGGTTTATTCATTTATTGATGGACACTTGGGCTGTCTCCACTTTCAGTGCATCCTTTCACATTCCCACCAGCAATGTATGAGATTCCCCCAATATTGTGTTTTAAATAAGAAAGAAATGTTTATGTACCTGGACTGAAGAGTACTATTGCCTTCAGGTAGGCATATTCATATCCATCAATGCAGAGTTTAACCATGCTGTTACAGAACTCCTGTAGTTTAAAGATGTGCTCCATCAATAATTTTCTTCTTTCTGTTGACATTTTATCTTTAATTAAAAACAAACAAACGAAAGCTTCTAGTTTTTGGCTAAAATGTATGACTATTTTTACTCAATATATTTCCTTCTCACTAATTTCTAGCTTTGAATATAACCAAGCTGTAAATGTTTAAAATTCATTATCTCTGCAAGTGAAGATGAAACTTGTGATCTTCAGACATTCCTCATTCAAGGAAAAAAACAAGCTGTTAGAAAAAAAAAACAAAAACCCCAAGAAATTTAGTGTTTCAAGATATATCTTTGAGAAGGTAAGCTGTAAGGATAACCTGAAAAACTAGCCTACAGAAGACTCAAATTTTGGTAACAAGATTTTATTTAAGCTTGTAATTGGTTGAAAAAAATGAGCAAAAGCACCTAGATTTTTGAAGTTCCCAACACTATTAAAATAAAAATACTTAGCAAAAAAACACTGCCAAGACCAAAGAAAAGTTGAGTATAATAAAGTTTTATAATAACTTTTAAAATTTATTGTGTTTATGTTTAAAACACATCTGACTAGTCAACCACAGCTTTAATGAAGTAGGCTATATATAACCCATTACAAATTCATGCGAAATGAATCAAGACCAGGAGTCCATAAATAAGATGGAATGTAGTGCTACCTTCTAGCAGATCTACTGCTGATGACATTTTAAGGTGATTTTTCTGCCTCAAACAGGAAGTGGAAGCAGATGATTTAAAAATAACGCAAAACAATGAGAAATGGGACATGCTAAGGAAATAAAACATGATTCCCAATTTGTAAATTATTCCTAAATTCAAAAAGCAGTTCCTCCCATGCTCCTGGTTAGTCACAAGCCAATTTAAAATTAAACATTTATAAATCAATGACCGCCTGTGTCCTCAATTAAAGCCGTAATGACCACGGCATCAAGAAAAGGAAAAAAGTAAAGATTGCTCTGTTTAAGTGAAAGAATATATCCCAATGAACTGATTAAAAACAAAAACAAAAACAACCCAGCCTATGCTGGGATGCAAAGGACTATAATTAAAAAAAGTCAGTTTGAAAATTGGTGAGGAGTATACATTTAAAAATATCTGGTCACCTCTATGTAAGCTAATCCCTGGATCCTTTGGTATCTATGTCCAAATATGCAAAACTTCACAGGGCCTACTCAGAAGCTGCCTGCCAGAGTTAAATATAATTGTTTCAATTTTGTTATGCTCTCATTTGAAAATATTTTTGGGTGATTAATGGGTGAATTTATCAAAATGTAAAAGTTATCTCTAGTAAAAAGGATGCTGGTATCTTAAACATTAATCAACTATCTAACTTTAATGATAACATAGTTTATAAAATTGACACCCTCTCTTATATCCTGGAAAAAGAAATAAATAAGATGCTCCTTACCCTGTTGAAGGCTACTGTGAAGACAATTGACAAATGTTGCTAATATAGTTGCCACATTCATCACTTGCCAACACTGGGCAAGACCAAGAGTAAAAAGTTCATTCCAATAAGCTTTCACCAATGATATGCTATTTTCTTGCCTATTAAAATGAAACACAACAAACATGTATCAGATATTAACATGTATTTTATAAACTTTACAACTTTTTAAAAAAAATTTATTTATTTATTTGAGAGAGAGAGCACGAGCAGGGGGAGGGACAAAGGGAGAGGGAGAAGCAGACTCCCTGCTGAGCAGGGGCTGGATCCCAGGACCTTGAGATTATGACCTGAGCCGGAGGCAGATGCTTAACAAACTAGGTCACTTAGGCATCCCGAAACGGTTTATTAAGCATGTTTCAGATGGGATATTAGTATCCCTATAAATGAGATACTGTGGATTTTGCTAGGAGAAATGAAAATAAGAATGGTCCCTTCCTGAACTTCTGAATAAGAAATCTCCAGAGCATGAGAGAGTAGAAAAAATATTAGAAGTCAGCCACAGTTTTAAAAACTAGATCATCCACTGATTATCCATTTGAAATCTGGCTAATAAGCTTCCCAGGTCTCAGCTGCCTAGCTATATAAAATGAAGAGAAACTATACGTCCTATTCCCTGCTCTCATTATTATGAGATGTAAATATAAGAATTATGTGAATAAGGGATGACATATAGTATATGCCAGGCACTATTCAAGGTACTGGAGAAACAGCAATTAACAGGATGGATTAAGTCTGCCTCCATGAAACAGAAGGTAAACATACAAAAATACCATTTCAAATATTTTATATATTATATACACATGTATATGGTTATATATACATTAGGTTTCTCTCAGGTAAGAAAAATTCTACATTACTATAAAGCAGGATTATGCATTAAAAAACGGTGGGGAGGGGGGTGTTCAGGTAAGGTGGCTAGAAAAGGCCAGCCTGAGGGGCTGACATCTGAGTAGAGAAAGATGGGAAAGAACTTAAAAAACAAAAAGATCTAGGGTATTGCCAATTTCTTATGGCAATTAAAATCTATTTGAAAGTGAAGTTTAAATGAAAAGAAAATCATATTTTCAAATCTCCATATAAAAAATGATGTAAAATTTATATCTTAAAATCAAAGAAAATAAAAGAGACCAAGATAATATTTTCATGTATCAGAAAAGACAGCTAAAATCCAGAATCGAGGATGGTGTGAGGAAATAAGCATTCATTCTCACGTAAGCATTGCTGAGGTGTTAACTGGCTCAACATCTTTTTGGAGGACAATTTAATAGTACCTCTCTATAAAAAAACTAGAACATACACCCTCTGAGACTTAGCTATTCCACACTTGATCTTAGCCAAAAGGCCGAGAAGCGATGAGACTTAGCTATTCCACTTGTAAGAACCTATTTTATAGAAATACACAAAGTAGGCAAATTATACATACAATGCTACAGTGCTTATTGTAGCACTGGATAGAATAACAAAGAAAATTAGCAAGAACCCAAATGTCTACTAATAAAGAATGAGTAAATCAATAAGAGATCCTGTAAAAGAGAATACTAGGCAACCATTCAGGAGAACAGGGTAAACTGACATTTGCAGACATAGGAAGAGACCCATCTTATAAGTATAAAAAGAAAGGCAAAGAATAGGATATGCAAGTGTGTAATGGATTGTTAAAATATGGCACTGAAAAGGTCTGTTAGGACACCAAACTGTTAATTAGTGGGGTTAGTTACCTCTGGAGAATGAAGTTTTACTTTATATTTCTATACTTCAGTGTTACTTTAAAATTTTATAAACAGGAGGAAAAGGTTAAAAGCAAACATGATGGGAAAGTTCACAGTAATTCAGTTTTCACCTTAACCTCTGAGTCCGAAGTTTTAAAGAGGAAACAGCTAACCAAGGTAATTAGTGGACACAGGATAGGAAAATGAACAGAACCAACTGACAAAAAAAAAAAAAAAAAAAAAAATCAAAGCTCTTTCTGGCCTGTGTTATACCTAGTAGGATGAAAGTACTTTGACATTGTTGTGGGAGACTCAGAGAAAAGATTGAGTAACCGTGCAGAGGATGAGGGACACCAAAATTGTTATGAGTACCCTAAAGGAAAAATGACGAAAAGTGGCAAATGAGGAATAAGCCACCAGATTACTTTGTTTCCAAAGGAAAAGTGAAAGAACTAAATATGGAGATTAATTGCAGAAAGATACATATATTTACATCTTCATCCAAAACAAAACCCCAAATATCCTTGTAGTATAGCTAGCTATGCTGTTCAAATGTTTTTAAAAAGTTCACTAGGAAAGGAAAACAGCAAGTCCTTTTTAAAGAGAAGGTTCCTAAGAGAATGAAGGAAAATGAGCATTGATAATCTAGTTTGCAGTAGCACTGGATTAGATAATTTACATTCATTATCTCCGCTAAGTAGCCTCGCCAGCAAGAAAGCATTTCTGCTCTTAAATTATAGATGTAGAAATAGAGCCTAGTTAAGTAGCAAAGCTAGGAGATGAACAAATCCAGAATTTGAACCCAGGTGTTCAAAATCTATGCTTTTGTATAACTCATTAAAATTTTAGCAAGTAAAATGCTAAAGTCAAATTTCTCAGTAGAGACTCCCCTTTACAGCTAGTATTTTGTGACAGTAAGGGCATGTTTGCTATCAACTTTTTTCTGTGAAAAACAAATAACTATTGTAATCACATTATACTACCTATTTTCTAAACATCTTTCCTTTGAAAAGCAAAAGGAGCTGGATGGGGTAGCTAAAGTATCAGTCAGGTACACTGAAACAATGCCAGTGTTAATTAATAGAGGCATTAGGTTGCATAACGGTAAATATGTCAACTTCTTTTACAAATAGGTATAGGTATTTTTCTCTAACTAGTCTTCTATATTGTTAAGTTCATTAAAATATGTACATAGTACTCAGAATTAGAGATCAGATCATTGTTTATACTATTTATTTTGATAAAATAAGACTTCCAAAGTCATGTATACGTGGGGATAACCTAACCATTTGTCTTCCACGCAAATAAACCCAAGGCATTATACTTTACCTAGCAGCATGTGTTTGAAAGGAAAGCATGGTCCTTAGGGAAAAGTTGTCAGTGATACGGCAATAAAGCTGGTTTTATTTTTATTTTTAAAAATTTTTTAAAAAGATTTTATTTATTTGACAGAGAGCACAAGCAGGGGGAGTGGCAGGCAGAGGGAGAGGGGGAAGCAGGCTCACCACAGAGCAGGGGGAGCCCAATGTGAGACTCGATCCCAGGACCCCGGGATCATGACCCGAGCCAAAGGCAGTCACCCAACGAACTGAGCCACCCAGGTGCCCAATAAAGCTGGTTTTAAACCCGCATCTATAGTAAAACATTACTTTGTTTCAGTGGGATTTTAAAAGATTCAACTTTCAGACTTAGCATCTATGGAAGGTTTCTTAAATTACTCAAAAAATAAAGTCTCCTGTAGCAAATAGTGGTGGTTTAGAACTTTGGGTTATATTACGAGAATCCAGGTAGAGAAGACTGCTGACAAATCATGCCAAGTGCCTGTAACTGAACTTACTACTGTGTAATCACCTAAATTACACAGGTAGAAGTGAAAAACAACTGAATTCCTATAAGTTTTGAAACTACAAATCTTTTTTTTTTTTTTTTAAAGATTTTATTTATTTATTTGACAGAGACAGAGATAGTGAGAGCAGGAACAGAAGCAGCGGGAGTGGGAGAGGGAGAGCAGGCTTCCCACCGAGGAGGGAACCCGATGTGGGACTCGATCCCAGGACCCTGGGATCATGACCTGAGCCGAAGGCAGACGCTTAACGACTGAGCCACCCAGGCGCCCCGAAACTACAAATCTTAAACAGAAAAGTAAAATCCTTGTAAAATATAAAGGACTGTACAATAGACAGTATTAACCACCCACTGTTTGAAAGGTTCTTAAAGCTACTGTTCTCCATTTAATAAGTAATCAAAACAAACTCGACTTTTAGTAACTGATTAATGTTGCTTATCTGTTTCTCTCTGCAATATTAGGGCTTTGTTCCCAAGTTTTGGGTCTACGGATAAAAATGCAACCTATGTCAGTTTCTAGGAGACTCAGAATAGCTTTTATTACCACTCAACAGAATTTCCCATCATCAGTACTTAGTCCTCTTCCATCTGATTAACTAGAACTACAAACAACCTAGATGGCGACAGTGAGTTTATGTAGCGATTAATGGCCTCACATGCTACACCAATGGTTAATTCTGATTGCAAAGAATCCTGTGGCTGTTACATTAAAACCATTTTTCAGTACAGATCAGAGGGAAATGTGGCTGCCACTGTAAGACTGGATTATAACTGGAAACCTCAGGTTTTATTTTTGGTTTCTTTTTGGAAATGTTTCCATAGGATAATCACACTTAACAGAAGTACTTAAGATCAACAGTGCTATATAAATAATTCAAAGAGTTCAAAGCACTCCCTAAAAATCGTTTTTTTTTTGTTTTTTTTTTTTACTATAATAGTTGATAGCCTATTATGACAAATATCACCAGATTACTTTTCAACACAAAAGTACTCCAGTTACAAGCTTAGGGAACTAAGTAAACCTAACCCTTTAAAATAAACTGCTAATATGTAAATTTATATCATATTTTAATTCTTTGTTAAAAAAAGCAGACTGGAGAAATTCTGAAAACTAAATGTTATTTTGAGAGAAAGGGCTAACAATAGTTCTAAAGGTTAACCATTCTAAATTAGGCTTTCAATCTATGTAACTATATTAGTTAAGTATATGATTTAATGCATGGTATACCCAACACCAAATTATACTGGGGTTCTATGTGTGCCTTTTTTTTTTTTTTTTTTAAGGAGGCTCCATGGCCAGTGCAGAGCCCAACGTGGGGCTCAAACTCATGACCCTGAGCATCAAGACCTGAGCTGAGATCAAGAGCCCGACGCTTAACTGACTGAGCCACCCAGGTGCTCCATGTATGCTTTTAAAGTCATGACTGAGAAATTTCTTAATCATATTAAATACTCTGTAAGAATAAAGGATGGACAGTTATCATTCCTTTGGCAAATGGGAGAACAGAAGTATAGGATATGAAAGCACATTATTTATGAAATCATGTTGGTGAGTAGGGCCCTGTGACTAGAAAAATACTTTTATGACTATGGACTTAACTTTTTCCATAGTCTCTTTGCGTCTTCATACCAGTTACTTTAACACAATCTAAATAAATCTGGCAAACATCAGGTAATACAGATGTAATACAGATTACTGGTGTGTTTCTTGGTGGTAAGTATCTCCAAATTATCACTGTGGTACTATGGGGTCTACAGTATCTCCCCCTTCCCCACTTTTTGTAATCACAGATTGGAAAACAACTGTTTCTATTTTGAAACATTCACTGTATGCATGTTTCAGCTCCTTATGAACATGCCTGAGATGAACACTGAAAACAGTGGGGCTGGGAGGGAAACAACGGCCCAGGGCATACCTACAGCCTCCCTATCTTCAGGTCAAAGACAGCCTATTACAAATGCTGGCCATGATTTATCAGCTCCACTGCATATATTCCATTTGAATTATTAACTCAGTCAAATTATGAAACATGGATACCCTTCCTACATAAAAATAAGAAAATACTAACTGCCATAATTTGTCATATAAATAACAAAACTTTATAATGTTATACCATTTTTTCCCTTTAATACAAATCCATCCAAAATAAAAGTTCTTGCTTAGTGTACATTTGTGCGGTAAAATCACATTTATACTCAAGGACTTCAAAACACTTACCCTAGAGCCTGGAAGGAAGGAATCGAAAGTGCCCAGTGCATTGATAAGAACAGCAGTCTGGAGGCAGACTCCCCAATGTAGTGCACATTCAGGTACTCAGGCATAGGAGAAGGCATGGTGAGCTAGTGTGAACAGGGACTGAGGTAAATTATGACAGTTCTAAATGATACTTTCTTTGAAAAAGTTACATGTAAACATATCAAATAGGAGTTTGATATATTCACCAAAAGGCAAATCGTGAAATAATCCAAGTGACTGGATTTTACAGCTATAAATAGGATTTAGAATGAGTAGATCATAGTTGCTAACAAAGCAATATTTAGACAAGCAGGATCCCATTTAATAAATATCAGGTATGATATTCCCTGGTTGTGTTTTTAAGTTATTTCTGTCTTGGTCTAACAATGTGCTTTTTTTCCTTTCTTCTCTTCCTTTATCAATAATGGTATAGTTCAGTTTAAGGAGTAATCCTGTGTGTTAAATGTTCCATTCACGCAGGCTATGTGGAGTAACAAATTCAAATCTTACAGGGTCAGGAGAATAATGAGTGAAGTGGGCCTGCTGGTGCCATCTGGGAAGTGCATATTCCTTTATCTGGGACTCGAATTCCATATACTGAAAACATATGGCAATTTGGACTAAGGACTGCCTGCTCTATTTTTCAAAGAGCAGGTTCTGTGTGCAACTCCCTGTTTAATCTACAGGTAAAACAAAATGTGTCTGTGGCTATAATACTCACAGGCTGTCCGTTTGTACTCCTGACCTCAGGTAGTCACTTTAAGTGTGGGTCAACTGTTGAAAATAAATATCCCACATCAAAAGCATTTTTGAAAAGCTTGTTAAAGAGAACTTTCATTACTATAAATGAAATGTAATTTCATCTATAACCTAAATTTCTATCACTAAGGAAAATAACCTATGCTATAGAGTACTTTGTAGGCATTAAAATTAGTGAGATAAACTGAGATGTAATGGCATAGAAAAAAAATACCTCACAGACGTCTAAGTGGAAAAACTATGAAACAATGTGTAGATGACCTAATTTATGTTAAAGAGAAAGGGACAGAGAGAGAGAGTGTGTGTGTGTGTGTGTGTGTGTGTGTATAAAGGACAGAAGATCTATCACAGCAAGTTAACACTGGCTACCTCAGGGGTAGAGTAGGTGGATGTACCCGTATGTATTTTTCTGAGGAAAGGATAGCTTTAATCAGATTCTCAAAAGTGTCTATGATGCCTAACAGATCAAAAGGTTTTCATCAAAATGATACAAAAATTCTCCAGAAATGTTAGGTAAAAAATATTGCCTTTGTTCATTATTAGCCACAAATGGTTTATCTATTTATAAATGGTGCCACTAATAAAACAACAGAGAAATTAACAGTTGAAATTTCATGTATGAGAAAAATATATATATATATTTTAAAATATTTTATTTATTTATTTGAGAGGGAGAGAGAGAGTGAGCATGGGCGGGTTGAGGGGCAGAAGAAGCAGACACCCCACTGAGCAGGGAGCCAACGCGGGGTCTGATCCCGAGACTCAGGACTCTGGGATCATGACCTGAACCGAAGGCAGACGTTCAACCGACTGAGCCACCCACGTGCCCTGAGAAGAATATTTTTTATTTAAAAAAAAATTTTTTTTAAGATTTTATTTTTAAGTAATCTTTACATCCAACATGGGGCTCAAACTCACAACCCTGAGATTAAGTCACACACTCCACCAACTGGGCCAGCCAGTGGGCACCCTGAGAATATTTTTTAAATGCTTGAGAAATGTTTACTGGAGCAGCAAATTAAAATGCCACTATTTAAAGAGAATTCTTAAGAGAACTGTAGGCAAGCAGATATTAAACATCTTAAATGTAATTATCAGGATGCTACTGTTTCTATACGTAAGTATATAAAAAACAAACTGGGAACTATCATACCTTTTCAGAATTGCCCAAGGGGAGTAGAGGGGCGAAAAAGCCTGAAAGATCAGGGGAATTACCAGAGATTACTAGTTTTAGGGGGTTGGAGTAAGTAAGATGCAAAACAACAATTGTTAGTCACTTTTAAGAAAGTAAAATAGTTACAGTATTAAAAATTAGACATAAGGGCTAAAAGATACAGATGTACCCTCTTGACACAAGAGTGGTGGTAATGTTGAAAACTTTCTGTGCTTTAATCATAAAATTGAAATCATTTGCAATACATACTAGAGGAATTCATTATTTAAAAGACTGCCATGCATTGTATGGATGCATGTATTATAAAGAGAAGAAATATCTCATAATTTATCTGTTTTAATACTTAATTTTCTTAAACAAGATACACCTCTAGCATCATGAATCAGCCAGTACTGGCTTAAGAAACAAGAATTTATTCAACAAGTCTTTTAGATTGCAAAGACAAAGATTTCTTCCTCTATATAGAGAAGATGAGTTCCTACTAAAGATGTTAAAGAGCGTCCCAAAACTGCCTGTGGACTTTTAGGTTTATAAATTGAAATACACACATTTTAAAAATGATACACATTCAGTACATTGAGTTTTTTTTTTTTTTTTTTTTTTAAGTAGGCTTCATGGCCAGCATGGAACCCAACACAGGGTTAGAAATCATGACCATGAGATCAAGACCTGAGCTGAGATCAAGAGTTGGAGAGTTAACCGACTAAGCCACCCAGGTGCCCCAATATATTGGCTACCCATTTTAGAAGTTACTTGTCTACCATTACCTTTATAGCCCTTTCTGTAATTCTGACAATAAGCTAAATGACAGAACTTTAAAAAAGTCATTTGACTTGAGTTAGGAGATCTGAATTCTATTCCCAACATGTCATTAGTTGTGTGATCCTGGATTACACATTATAATTCAGCAAACACATCTTGAGATCTCTTTCTTTCTTTCTTTTTAAAGAAAATCCAACCCCCAATGTGGGGCTCAAATTCACAACCCAAAAATCAAGAGCTACCAACTGAGCCAGCCAGGTGCCCCAACTGAGATTTCACTGTAAGGTACTAAGCTAAGAGCTAAGGCTTCAATAGAAGAATAAAGGGAAACAGAATGAGCTACAGAAAGGGCTAAGAGGAGGTGACTGGGTGGCTCAGTCATTAAGTGTCTGCCTTTGGCTCAGGTCATGATCCCAGGGTTCTGGGATCGAGCCCCACATTGGGCTCCCTACTCAGCAGGAAGCCTGCTTCTCCCTCTCCCACTCCCCCTGCTTGTGTTCCCTCTCCTGCTCTCTTTGTCAAATAAATAAATAAATAAAATCTTTAAAAAAAAGAAAGGGCTAAGAAAGAGATGGCATTTCTGATAAATGATGGGCAACTGAATCAAAATGTGGAAGGTCCTAAAAGGTCATAAACTTTATCTCAACGAGCAATAGGAAGCTAATGAAGGCTTTTAGGTAGCAGAGTAACATAACTGGCCTGATTTTTTTTTTTAAGATTTTATTTATTTATTTGAGAGAGAGCGCACACACATGTGAAGAGGAGAGGAGGGGCAGAAGGAGAGGGCGAAGCAGGATTCCTGCTGAGCAGTGAGCCTGACTAGGGGCTCGATCCCAGGACTCTGGGATCATGACCTGAGCTGAAGGCAGACGCGTAACTGACTGAGCCACCCAGGCGTCCCATAACTGGGCTGATTTTTAACAAATACCACTCTGTTACCAGAGCACAGGACAAGATGAAGAGACTGGAAGCAAAGATATTACTCTAACCATTTAGGTAAGAAATTTTAAAAGGCCTTGAAATACGGTGATAAAAATGAAGAGGAAGGGAGAAATTCAAACAAAAGAATGGTTAGGATTCAATTAGGGAATGGAGGGGAGTGAAATATGGGGAGAATGATGATGACTCCCAAACATCAAACATGGTGACCAGAAGGACTATGGTTTTAATACTGAGATGATACATATGAGAGAACAGTTTTGGATATCACCTACCTCTGTCTCATATACTTATTCCTAAATGGGAATTCTATCCACTTTGATGATCTATGTAATCAAATTGCAAGAATCAAGAATAAAGTATATGAAATCACACCAAAAACTCCGAAATTTAATAAAAATATTTAATATTTCTATTGTCCTAGATTCTACAGAACCAAATTCCAAGATGTATTATTAGACTATTTCTCCTTTCTGTTTGGATTGCTTTGAACAAGACACTGAAAACCTCCAAATCTTTTTTCATTCACAAAATGACAGTAAAAACCAAACCTTCACAACCAACTGTGATTAAGACTCAAATGTAAGAATGTACACATGAAAGCATGCTGCAAACTACACTGTACATAAAAATGCAAGATAGGAACAAAATGCTATTTAGCTCAGTTAAGAAAGAACTAAGTTTTTGATTACAGATGTCAGGTTTTGAAACTCATGACTATAAAACCTCAATGAGAAAGCCAACTATGAAAGTACTAAGCTGGGAAGTGAGGGAAAAGTAAAACTCTTGATTTCACAAAGGCTGGAAATGTAAACAAGCATCAGAGAAAGAAGCTGTCTTTGTCAGGAGACCAAGAAACTTCACAGTGCTGATTCTGAGGACACCCAGAGAACAGCAGGTCGAAGACTGTATGGAAAAAAAACAATTCCAGAGATGGGAAAAAAGTTCTAATTTGCCTAACTCACCTGTCGATAACAAATATTTAAAAGAATCAAACATTTTGAGGACCAACATCAACAATTAAAAAAGGACTATTTCTATTTTCTATAGAAGTACTCTATACTTTTTCTTGCAATGGGTCCTCTTCCTACATGTCTTTTTCTTTCCTTCCCATTTAAATCTAAAGGTAGAAAATAAAAGTAAGACAACAAAAACATGTCTTTTATTTAGAATAAAAAGTGCAATTGGGAAAAATCAGTTTTGCCTTGTTCCACCCTTGTCCATAGCTCCTACCATAAATTTTAAGGATGACACTGATTATTCCCATTATCTTTTCTTACAGCCCCCATAAAAAATTTTCATGTACAGTACACATAAAACATTTCTAATTTTTTTCATATAGGTTTATCTTTGGCAAAATTTTATATGAAGATTGGTTTCACGGTCTATGTCAAATTACAGCAATTTACTAAGTCACTGAGCTTTCTCTGTGGCTACTTCTACCAAGTCAAATCTTACAAATATAAATTTTATTGTATGCAGTTTTAGCCAATGTTAGATTTGTGTTATTTGTACCAGTCACACAAACCGCTATTTGAGAACTGTTTATATTTTCATTAGAAACCCACGGAAATTTATAATCTACAATAAAGTTATACACAATTTCCATCAGGTATTCTAGGACTGCTGTGTATTGCTAACTGAAATCTCCTATATACTTTTAATCACTTTGCGTATGATTTGCTGATAGTACTCATAGCCGGCAGAGAAAAGATATAGAGTGGTTAAAATGGAGGGGTCAAAACATCAGAGTCTTAATGTAGGGCCTCAATGGTCAGTGTATCTATAGCCATAGTCCAAACATTATCTGAATGACAAAGTTATTTTCTAATATTCTGCATGTATTGTTTCCATCATAAATTAATGTATTTAGGGGAGCAAAAAAGAAACTACAAATGTACCTCCCCCAAAATGGTTAAAGTGTAAAAAGTTAAAAGCCAAAAGTTAAAATGTATTAAATAATTTTTACATTCTTAATACTGAGAGCTAGCTAATTAGGGGACTACGTAATAAATGGAGTTCTTTATAGTTACTATGGTAAGAATAACTGGGTCTCACATACTGGTTTATACCAAAGCATTGAACAAAACCGGTGTATACAAACATGATGTCAATCCTTAAGAGTTAACAACAACATCCAAAACTTATGTCTAAATGTTCTAAAAGCTAGCTTTTATAGACTTAAAACCACTAATCAATATTATAACCATGATTTATAAATAAATAGGATGCTTTATTGAGCCATTATTTAAATAGCCAGATGTGTATATTTCAGTTGCTATTTTGAATTCTATCAGGAATATTTCGGACTTTAAAAGCACAACAAATATACTCTGATTTCTGGAGGGAAGATTGAAATCAAAATGGATAACACAACATAAAAATTATATTAAAAAATATGGAAATACCCTGAAAGCTACATGTGAATCGCTGAGAAGAGGCCCCTCTTTTTCGATGTAATTTATGCTCGAGTCTCCAGCAATTAGGTGTACGCTTCCTTCCATGCCCTCTACTGAGCTCTGACAGGCTGTGCTCTCTCCAGGATTCAATGCTTTTGCAAGAGTGTCAAATGCCCTATTAGGAGACATCAGATGCTGTGAGCTTGGTCAATCTCCACAATAAAATAAAAACTCTACATAAAATTCTGGAATTAAGATTTAGGCCTAAAAAAATTATTGAGAATACAGAACTTTGATGTATCACTGATTACTCTATTTCATTGATATCTATACCTGTTTCCAAAAGCAACAAATTAAATTTGAATATGTATAGTATGAAAAGCTGTATTATATTAATGTATTATCAGAGAATTAAAGTCTTTAAAAAAAAATTTATGTAATTACCAGGAGGAAAAACCCTAAAATATGCTTTTACAAGTTATACATTTGATATTACAAGATAACAGACCATTTACTTTACATACAGAAGTTATTTAGAAAGAATAAGGGCAAGAACTTATGTCAACTTTACTGCATTCTACACAACACAGATTTTATTTAAAAATTCAGAAAATATTTTAAAACTTGTGTTAACACAGCTACATCTGTCAGAATTTGAGATTAGGATGGCAAATAATGAACTAATGTTGGCAAATAATGAACTAATTTTAGCAAATAATTATTTAAAATAGCTCCCCATATTTTTCAATGAGAGGCCTTTTAAAGAGTTACTTAAAATCTCATGTTCAACAAAGTACTTATTGAGACTCTTAAATGCAGTTTCCTCAACATTTAGATGATGAACAGTGTGAAAAAAAGCCTGAAGAGATCCAGTTTCTACATCCCATGTATTAATATAAAGAGAATGAAAAATAGAATTCTCACATAAGTTTCCCGAAGTGTAACTTAAAATTGTAGTTGATTCAATTAAGTGTTTTAAATCTATTTTCATCATTAAAAATTGGTGGGGAAAATGAACATGGCTGCCTGGGGTAAGACAAATGTTTAAATACACAGAAGATATGGGGTGGCTGGGTGATAGACACTGGGGAGGGTATGTCCTATGGTGAGTGCTGTGAATTGTGCAAGACTGTTGAATCACAGACCTGTACCTCTGAAACAAACAATACATGTTAAAAAAGAAGAAGAAGAAGAAGATAGGAGGGGAAGAATGAAGGAGGGGAAATCGGAGGGGGAGACGAACCATGAAAGATGATGGACTCTGAAAAACTGAGTGTTCTAGAGGGGAGGTGGGTGGGAGGATGGGTTAGTCTGGTGATGGGTATTAAAAACGGCACGTTCTGCATGGAGCACTGGGTGTTATATGCAAACAATGAATCATGGAATACTACATCAAAAACTAATGATGTAATGTACTGTGATTAACATAACATAATAAAAAAAAAGTATGGGGAAATCTAAAAAAAAAATAAATACACAGAAGATAAAATATCACCTTTAGCAAGAAAAAAATTCCTAAATTTTTTTTTTTTTTTAAAGATTTATTTATTCATTTATTTGACAGAGAGAGAGAGAAAGCGAGAGCAGGAACACAAGCAGGGGGAGTGGGAGAGCGAGAAGCAGGCTTCCTGCCGAGCAGGGAGCCCGATGCGGGGCTCGATCCCAGGACCCTGGGATCATGACCTGAGCCGAAGGCAGACGCTTAACGACTGAGCCACCCAGGCGCCCCAAAAAATTCCTAAATTTTATGACTACATTTCTAAGCTTATAATATTCATTTATTGCTCATTATTTAGAATGTAACCTGCTGAATAACATTTTACAATTCTTGAATGTGCTTTTTCAGTTAAAACTATGCTTTAGATTTTCTAAGTCTAACAGAAATACTTGTTTTCTGAAACTTCTGTAAATAGTATTCAACGTAAGAATATTGTAAGACATACTAATAAGATCAAAACAGACCTTACCTTGAAACATCACCATTCGTCTGCATTTCTTGATGAAATTCACACAAAGAGGTATCACCATTACTTAAGCTTTCAATCACAGACATTTCATTACTATTCTGAGAAAGATCTTTAGTTTTTCCAAGATTTGCTAATGATGTAACCACACTGGCCAATGTACTTAAATCTCCCTGACATGATTCAGCCTTTAAAAAAAAAAAAAAAGTATTAAAATCTGCAAATTGGAACAGAGAACTTTTTGTCTGAAATATCCAATTCTAGATTATGAAATGCCAAAATTAAAGTACTTCTAAGATAACTGAAGCCTAGAAAGTAAAATCAAAGAGCTCTGAGCTTTCAGAAACTTCCTGAGGAAAATATAAGTTTAAAAACATCAGGTACATTTCCTAGGAAATGTTTATACAAAAATTACATTAAACCAAAAACTGTACTTAATGACTAATCTAGTCACATCAACAATCCCTTCCTCTGTAAACGGATCTTAGATGATCTTTTAAGTTCTTTTAGAATTAAAATCCTGACAATTTCCAAAACTCACTATATGAACTATAAAGTTGTACAGAATGTATTAAAATTAGTATTACTGAGAAAAGAAAAAAAGGTAAATGTGTATTACTGAACAGAATTCTTAGAATGCCAACTTTTACCAGTCACTGGTATATGTTAAATACCAGGTGCTATGTAAATGAAAAATCTCATATTTAAGATAATGGTTTTTGTTTTTAAGATTTTATTTATTTGAGAGAGAGAGAGAGATTGAGAGAACGAGTGGAGGGAGGGTCAGAGGGAGAAGCAGACTCCCTGCAAAGCAGGGAGCCTGACACGGGACTTGATCCCAGGATCCTGGGATCATGACTTGAGCCGAAGGCAGATGCTTACGGACTGAGCCACCCATGCACCCAAGATAATGGGCTTTTGCTATATACTGCACATTTTCCCATTTGCCTTTAGTTTTTATTTTTGTTAATCATGTATATATTCTTTATACACTAATTAGCTATAATTATTTTGTGAAAAAGTATTCTCTCTCCTTAACTGTTTGACTACCCAGAAATATAATTTCTGTGGGAAAGGCAGATAGATGCTTGATTTTTCTTTATCAATTTTCAGAGCAATGAGTCAATGCCCTTAGCAACCTCTACTGGTAACAGGTGAGTTTTAAGTATCACTTTAAATTCATAGATTTTTATATATTTGATGTGTTTCAATGAATCATTCTTTTTTAAATACTCAAATTATTCCATTCTAACCTAATGAGAGTCCCTTCAATTGCCTTCTATGGCCAACTGACTGAATCCTTTAATGAAATTTAATTCTTCCTTTACGGTTTGTAGTGTTTTTAATCCTAAGAAAATACATGTTTCCTTGATGTTTCATGTTTTATCAATTCTTCAGTTTATGTGAAATTGGTGTTAATGAACAGAATGAAACAATTTTTGTGCTTCCTAAATTAATGAATGGTCCCAGAATCATTTACTGAGAAACCTACCAGTTGTGTGGAATTCTTACTTGGTTCCTACTAATACACGTATTTTATTTAATCCTCATAACAACCCTGTGAAATAGGAGTCATCATCCCTTTATTACTGACAAGAATCCATTGCCACTGCAGCAGCAAATGGTGGAGGCAAGACTGGGAAGTCAGGTCTGATGGGAAAGCCTGTGCTCTTAACCACTGTTCCAGGCTTCGTATACATGAGGAAAAGGAGTTAACACTTAAGTGTTTTAAATTCAACTAAAACTTAAACCTAGCTATTTGCTTCCATTTTCTAACATGCCTATCTAGCTAGATTAAACTTTTGCCAATGAGGACTCTTAGCAATGTGAAAAGACCTCATCTTGTGATTGTTAGTCAGAAACTTACACACAAGGTTATTATAATTCAATACAAAGACATATAGAAAAGTAGTGTCTGGGCAAATAATTTCTCAACAAAACTTAGTTGTCTTCCTTTCCTAAAGGAGTTAATATGTCAGTGCAATCGTAACTACCATCCTAACTTTGAATCACGTATATAAAGCGAAGCAAAATCTTCTAATTCCAAAATATATGGTAAAAGGTCAAATCTCCCCACTTAATGACAAAATGCTAACGCTCAACCTGTATGGTTGACACTCGTATTTGCCCTACTTTACAGATGAGGAAGGAAACTGAAGCACTGAGAGGTCAAATAACTTGCCCAAGGTTATACAGCTAGTAAGTGGCAGATGAAATTTGATTCCAGAGCTCAAGTATTAAGAGTGCCTTAAGAATACTGGGTATTTACCCCAAAGATACAAATGTAGGGATCCGAAGGGGTACGTGCACCCCAGTGTTTACAGCAGCAATGTCCACAATAGCCAAATGATGGAAAGAGCCCAGATGTCCATCGACAGATGAATGGATAAAGATGTGGTGTGTGTGTGTACACACACACACAATGGAATACTACACAGCCATCAAAAAACCCGAAATCTTGCCATTTGCAACGACGTGGCTGGAACTAGAGGGTATTATGCTAAGCAAAATGAGCCAATCAGAGAAAGACATGTATCATATGATCTCACTGATATGAGGAATTCTTAATCTCAGGAAACAAACCGAGGGTTGCTGGAGTGGTGGGGGGTGGGAGGGATGGGGTGGCTGGTGATAGACATTGGGGAGGGTATGTGCTATGGTGAGCGCTGTGAATTGTGTAAGACTGTTGAATCACAGACCTGTACCTCTGAAACAAATAATACATTATACGTTAAAAAAAAAGAGAGAGAGAGAAGATAGCAGGAAGGGAAAAATGAAGTGGGGGGAAATCGGAGGGGGAGACGAACCACGAGAGACCATGGACTCTGAGAAACAAACTGAGGATTTTAGAGGGGAGGGGGGGTGGGGGGATGGGTTAGCCTGGTGATGGGTATTAAGGAGGCACGTACTGAATGGAGCACTGGGTGTTATATGCAAACAATGAATCACGGAACACTACATCAAAAACTGATGATGTAATGTATGGTGACTACAACATAAAAAATAAAAAAGAGTGCCTTTAGAATATCAAACAAATGTATAATAAATCTGGCCATAAACTGGATGAATAATCTTATAGTTTATATAAAACCAGATCACATTACAGGCTGAGAGAAATACTAATCATAGGCTCCCTAAAATCTATTTCTAGATAAGAGTCTTCAGGAGAAATTTTTCTTTTTGTTCTCATAAGGGGTTTCTGAACACTGCAGAAATAAACCTTCTTTCCTTGAGACTCCTTGCTCAAAGAGGACTCCAACCTTTAAAAGAAACCAGATAACTCAGACACGTAATGAAAGCTCTTGCAATCCTATTCCTACTCTTGACTCAAGTCAATGTTTTGATTAAAAGGTATGCTAGGAATTTCTCTTCACCTGAAATATTTTAAGTATTTTGTTACTGTAAAATCTGTAGGGGAGCATAAAAGAAATATTAAGAATTTTGCACTTGGGGCACCTGGGTGGTGCAGTTGGTTAAGCGTCGGACTCTTGGTTTCGGCTCAGGTTATGATCTCAGGGTCATGGATCAAGCCCCCGTGCTCAGCATAGAGTCTGCTTGAGATTCTCTCTCCCTCTCCCTCCTGCTCATGCTCTCTCTCAAATAAATAAATAAATCTTAAAAAAAAAAAGGGAATTTTGCACTTAATATAAATTTCCATTTCTGAGGGCTTTTGAGATGAAAGAAACCTAGAAGACTTTTGTCTGTCACTTCCATTTTGAAGCTGTAATTGTCCTAGTGGAATAATGAACATTTCTACTGATAGTTATTCATATATGAGGACACACAAAATGGAAGCTATCCTGGTCACAAATCTTTTTTTTTTTTTTTTTTTAAAGATTTTATTTATTTATCTGAGACAGAGAGAATGAGAGAGACAGAGAGCACATGAGAGGGGGGAGGGTCAGAGGGAGAAGCAGGCTCCCTGCCGAGCAGGGAGCCCGATGTGGGACTCGATCCAGGGACTCCAGGATCACGACCTGAGCCGAAGGCAGTCGCTTAACCAACTGAGCCACCCAGGCGCCCCCTGGTCACAAATCTAAACCCAAGTCAGCAAGCACTTACAGGAAACACCTGTTAAGGAAACCTAACATACACCAATCGCAATCCGCAACTCCACTTTAACTAGCTCACCTTTCCCTAAGAAACAGGACCCACCAGCCTTACAAGGAGATCTTCCAGCTCCTAGCCAATAAGGCCATTTCCATATTGCTGCTTCTAATGTTCTCTAAAACTCACTCTTGCCCGAAATCCCTCAGCAAGAGTGCTCTCCTGATCTATGGATTGTTTTCCCTTGAATAAAGGCACAAATTTGTTACTAAATTGTTTTAGCTGCCATTTGACACTATCGAATAGTTGATCATTTATATTAAAAAAGAAAGCAGTTTGTAATAGGAATATTTAAGACCAGATCAATTAACCAAAGTAATTGCGGAGATTAAGAAAAGGAAAAAGAAATATTTAAAGCTTAAAAAAATTTAAGCTTTAAATTAATTGCACTAAACACACCTTATCTGGTGTCATCAGCACAGTTGACTCAGTTTTTATTCCAGACTGGTGAATATTCACAAACATTCCTGAATCTAACAGTCCTGCTGACCTGTAACAAACAAGTACAAATTTTAGCCTTAGTTTCACTGGGAAGAAAAACAAATGACCAGCTCTACTGTATGTTTTGCTTGTTTTTACTATACCGTGCAGTTTCGCTATCTGTTACAAACGTTGGAGTTGCAGCTAATGGACTCCGAAGGTCTTTTCGGATGTAGATTTTTTCTGTGGAAGCGGCACAGTTGGAAGATTTCTCTCGTGATACTTCAATAGGTTTTCTTTCACACTGAACAGCTACAAAAATGCATTAAACTATTACACCACAGTGTGGAATTTATAGGCAATTATAAATGTAACCACTCGGTCAGCAGTGCTCACTGCTCATGGGAGACGAGTTACCATAAGTGAACTCTAAAGGTAATTCTTAATCTTTAGAAATTATTTCCAACTTCAACAAAGTTGCTTCAGAATAGTTATTTGCATCTCTCGCTCTCTTCTCTCCCTGACCCAGCTGTGGTAGAAATGTAGAGAAATTCTTATTTTTTAAAAGTCCACTGTCAAGAAGGAAAAGATACTGTCAAGAAGGAAAAACTGAAGATAGGAGTCTCTTACCTATCTATGTGAGAGTTAAAAAAATAATATTTGACCAATTGAAAACAATAGTAATAGAGAGCCACAAAAAGTTAAGTCTTTTTTTAGTTAAGAGCAAGGAGATTTTTGAGAAGTAATTCAACCGTTTAATCTTCATTTATAAAATATAGGTAGTGTACTTCACTTATTTTATAGGAATTTTATTTCATGATACTTAGGAGATAGTATAGTTTAGTTGTTAAATGTACATTTTCTGAGGGAAAAAAAAACCTGCCAAGATTCAGATCCAAGTTCTGCCACTTATTAGTTATGTGACCTTGGGCAAGTTACTAAATCTGTTTACTCAAATGTAAAATGGGTAAGAGTAGTACCTAGTGCGTGGTGTTTTACTATAGGAATAAATAATTCATATGCTATACACAGAGTTAGGCATGGTGAGAGCTCAATCAATATTAGCTACCCTACTTATCACCTTAGTAGTTTAATCGGAAACTAAACTGGCATCTAGTTAGTTGTGCTTTTTTTAAAAAACCATGTTCAAACATACATACATGCATAGCATATAGGCATTCGATGAGTATCTTGTTGAATAAAAAATACGTGCATATGTACACATTTCTAAACTGTTAGTTGGAAATCTGTAAATTAAAAAGCATATATATTGACATATTGTGTTAATTTTGACATACTTCTAGAGGTTGCCTGAATTCTTAAAATTATTTTCTCCTTTAAAGCTAATACATACAGTCTTGTCTCATTCCAAACGCAATACATCTCTGTAACCTGCAGTATTGACAGCGGTTTCGATGGTGTTTATTGATAATACAGTCCTTTGATCCTCGACATGAATAAACTAAATTTTTTCGGATGCTTCTCTTAAAAAATCCTTTGCAGCCTTCACAGGTTACTGCTCCATAATGACGCCCTAGAGACAAGATGTTTAAGGAAACACAAAAGTCACATATTTTAGAACAGAAATAGAAATAAGCCCATTTCTTCCCTTTAAGTAACAATAATATATGTGATGAAATGATTTTTGAGTTTGTGACATGGAAAATTTTTTTAGGAGTTACTAAACAGAGAATGAAACAACCATATTCTTTGATAAATATATTAAATAATATGAATTTTTCATTCTGTAAAGTAACTTTAACAATGATACGAAAAATTTCGGAAAGAGAAAAAACAAAACCACCCATGACACCATAAGTAAAAACTGTTTTCACTTCTGAGATCACTTACAAATTATAATTCTCTTATATGTTATATAAAGATATTTTATTCTGAAAACTCTGCTCGGAAAAAAGATACATCAATTAATATTTGAGCTATAGTATTCTCTTTTTTGAGGGGTGGGGTGGGAAAGGATAGAGGGAGGGGGAGAGAAAGAATCTTAAGCAGGCTACACGCCCTGTACAGAGCCTACATGGGGCTTGATCTAACGACCCTGAGCCAAAATCAAGGGTCAGACATTTAATCAACTGAGCCTCCCAGGTACCGCTATAGTAATCTGAAGAAATCTGTCACACTTTGATTAACCTACCACTTCACAGGCCATTTCTTTAATACAACATCTATTAAATTGAACATACTCTGGGAAAAGTTGTAGTGTGAGATTTTTGCAATAAAGCTATGGAAAAGATTAAAGATTATATATGAGTGAACATGGGTGCTTTCCTGGCATAAAATAACAATGAACATAACTAAAATGACATAACCCTGAGTATTAGTAATAGTACTTGGAGAAATGCTGCTCAGTTATGCACAGCATTAAATAAAGAGTAACCAGAGCTTTTCCATCTCAATAATTTAAGTTACTCTATATTCCTGGACTAGCAACAGGGCTCAGCAGGTAAGTTAACAACTTAATGTTATGTATTATTAAGGACCACAACTCATTTTTAAGCAATTGCTTTGACAAAACTGATTTTACTTTCAAGAAAAATTTCCACATATTCAGTTTACATTTAAAAAGCAGAACTCTTGGGGTGCCTGGGTGGCTTAGTTGTTAAACGTCTGCCTTCGGCTCAGGTCATGATCCCAGGTTCCTGGGATCGAGTCCCATATCGGGCTCCCTCCTCGGGGGGAAGCCTGCTTCTCCCTCTCCCACTCCCGCTGCTTGTGTTCCTGCTCTCACTATCTCTGTCTCTGTCAAATAAATAAAATCTTTAAAAAATAAATAAAAATAAAAAGCAGAACTCTTTGGGGGATCTGGGTGGCACAGTTGGTTAAGCCCCTGACCCTTGGTTTTGGCTCAGATCATAATCTCAGGGTCAGGACACTGAGCCTCGTGTGGGGCTCCATGCTCAGTGTGGAGTCTGCTTGAGTTTCTCTCCCTCTCTCTCTGCTCCCCCACCCGCCCAAATAAACAAATCTTTTTTTTGTTTTTAAAGCAAAACAGTTTTTCACAATTCTTCAAAATATACATTTTATGTAACTGCAAGATCAAATTAAATTGTATTCAAGTAAAAAAATAATCTTTGGGTGAATAAAAAGCTTTGGGGGGAAATCAGTTAAATTTTATAGGCCTCAAATAGGAACTGTAAAAACAACATGCTCTTTTTACTTTCAGAAGAAGAAACATGGTAGTGTGGTAGTTATTTTAACAACACAACACATACAGAAGGCTATTTTTAAAATGTTACCTGATGCTTTGTCTCCACATACTACGCAAAGATCAAAAACCTTATTTGGTCCTTGGTCTGGGGAAGAATTATCTGTTAAGAGCTAAAGAAAACCCCCCAAAACAAAAAACGAAACAATAATTTGTTAATAACACTCTTAGTTAAAATGTAAAAGAACGGTCTTAATTATTGCTTGCTTTCTCATAAGTTATTCTGGAACTTTGAACTCTATTATGCATATATCAATTAAACTACTGTTAATTTTCTTTATATATAAGTAAAAATTTCAATGTTATTAGAAGCAAAGATCAGAATACCTTTTAAATTTGTTCCATAACAATCTCATTAAATACTGTTAAACACTCAAATACATGAGTATTTAATGTATCTTACCTATTAAGCACTTATTATTTGTTATTCATTCAACACATCAAATTACTGCAGCAATTATCAGCCCTATCATGACGTGTCTTTGAACAGCTCAAAATTTTTCCACGTGGAAAAATAAGCTATAACAGCATAAAAAGATAACTGAATTTTTAAAATAGAAAGTACTTAAAAATTTTTTGTTATTTATCTATAATTATGGAAATGACTGATAAACTTTTCATCGATGAGTTGTCTAAGATTTGGATCTTAGTATAATCATTGACAACGTGGGCTGTAGAGTCTGATAAACGGTAGCAGGTTAGTGGGACTGGGTGGAGAGGCCTTGGGCAAATTACAAACCCTCTTTATAAATTATATAAAGAGCTAATCACTAGTTATAGCTAATATAATGCTGTAAAAGAAACACTAGTTTCTTCTTTTAGGTTTATCTTCTAATCTTTTAATAATTTTTTTTTCAATCTTTTGAAACGTGAACAAATTGATTCAATCCCAAAAATGTGATAGGGAATTCACCATATCACCTCCCCTGGCTTTAAAACAACCCACAAACTAACCTCCACTTTGACTCTTTTTCTTCTCTTAGGGGTGTGAATGCCTTCAGGAGTAATTCTGATTTTAAAAACTTCAAACAGTCCTTAAAACAGCTGTCCCTTGCTATGTTCTAATAGCATCATTTCTTCTTATATCATCATAAAAATTAGTCTTTAACAGAAACTTAAAAAAAAATAGGCTGTCCTTTGAAAGCATCTATGAAAGGCATCACTCTTCCTTAGCACATCTATTGTGAATGGTGCTAATCTTTTATCTATTATTCCTAAGGGTAGAAGAAATACTGAGAGATTAAGGGACTTGCCCACATCCTTTAGGTCACTAGATCAGAAATTCAGTCTTCTTGGCCCAGGGGAATTTTATCCTGTAGCTGTTTCTATTTCTTTGCCCTGAGAGGTGATCCATAAAGTAGGCAAAGTACCAATATTATCTTTTTTTCTTGAAACAGAATTTTTTTTAAAAAAGAGTAACTTTACAGTGGAGAAATCTGATACACACTACTTCAGCCAGGTGGTAAAGATCAATGTCACCAGTTATAAACATGAAGATAGTTAAGTACACTTGATATGTGATGAAAATGGCACTTAACCTCTGTGATCCTCCTCACCAAAACCAACAATCCCAGTCTAATCATGAGAAAAACAGTAGTCAAAGTCCCATAGCAGGGCCATCTACAATATACCTGACCAGTACACCTCAAAATCGTCAAGGTCATCAAATACAAGGAAAGTCTGAGAAACTATCACTGCTAACAGGAATCTAAGGAGACATGATGACTAAATGTAATATGGTATCCTGAAACCAAAAAGAGTATTAGGTAAAAATCAGGGAAAGCTAAAAACATCTATGGATTTTAGTTAATAATATATCAAAATTAGTTCACTAATCATAATAAAGGTATCATATTAATATAAAATGTTAATAGGAGAAATTGTGTTGAGAGGTTATATGGAAACTCTGTACTAACTGCTCAATATTTCTGCAACTATAAAACTGTTCTAAAAAATCAAATCTGTTGATAAAAAGAAATTAAGGTATTCATGATGTTACACTTTTAGTGACTTCTGTCTTGTTGATAAAATAACTTCTTATAAATCCCAACCACTTTTTACCTTAACTGCTTCTAAAAGTAATATAAATAATGCAATTAGAAGAGTAATAGAATCTATCAGGACATACAGGCAAAATTTTGTATTTTATGAATTAGTTTTTCAATCCTAAAAGAAACTTTCTTTGATCAGGTTTTCATCACAAAATAGAGAATTCAATTTTAAGTGGGCACTCCACCAAAAAGTCTCTGAAGGCAAACTTAAGGGTTTGTTGGATTTGTGTTCAATCACAGCAACCAGCAGTGAAAATTATCTACATAATCACAGGCATGCAGTGTGTATAAGCCTTAACTCTTCAAAAAATATATAACTAGCAAAAATTAAAATGATGTGAAGTTAATCTAGACCACTGACTGAATTTCAGTGTTAAAGCAGACGCTGGGGATAAAGCTGTCTGCTACATCAAGGAAAATAGAAATGACGACCAAGGAGGCAAAGTGACAAAGATGCAGCCATAATACCGACTTCTTGGTTTGGCAGCTTCTTGTTGCCCAGGTTAAGCGTCGTCTTGGGAAGTGATGCTACCACAGAAGAGGCTCTTAATTTGGCAGTTTCCTAAACATGCAAAAGCAGCAGGTCTCTTAGAAGCCAGTTCTGCAGCACCTCTGAGTGGTTATTCTTGGAAACCTGACCTGGAGCTGTTATCTTCAGCCTTCCCAACAATTCTGTGAGTTCTCTATACCCTTTGTAAAACCCTTTCCTGGGCAAACTAATCAGAGTGAATCTTACTATATGCAACTAACAACCCCCCCAAAATATATGGATGTGAGGGTGCGTGAGGAAAAGTACAGTGGCAGATAAGAGAGGGCAGTCACCACAGATAATCTGCACAGCACATAATCTTATGCAACATTTTTTTTCCTACGGACCACGGAGGACATAAAGTCTTAACATTAGGACTTATACTTATGACGTGCTTTTTAATTCTTTCAAGTGTAAGATGAAAAGACACTCTGAAGTTATTTACCTGGAGATGTTGTGCAGACAGATCAGGAGTTGTAAAAAATAACTGATTAACACCTGCTGCATCTGGAGTAGTGAGGAAAACTTTCCCTGGAGTGGAATCTTGCCTGGCCAGAATGACTTTGCTTGGGGTAGAGCCATCGTGATTTGTCAGAATGAACTGCTTGCCTTGTGTATTATGATCAAGTGCCGTCACGATCTGGATTTTCTGGCCAGTTTGCTGCTCGGTAACAATCTAACACAATCACGTCAAATTAGTAATCAATTCAACTTATCTTTTTTTTTTTTTCTCTTTAAGGGCACAATTTTCTCCTACCTTCAGACAAAGCTAGGAAAGCATACCATTACATATATATTCAATACAGTACACATACATACATACATACCTTTTAAACTAGCAATTCTACTCCCACAAAATCCCATCCTATAGAAAAACAAATGTGCAAATAAAGGTACAATAGTAAAAACATTTGGACCTATTTTGATTCCTTCTTTCCCCTTCCCTCCCACCTTCCATTTAGACAAATGTTTATTGGGTGCATTCCAATTGCCAAGCACTGTTTGTTCTGGGTCCTGGAATATAGCAATAAACAAAACAAAACCTTTGTTCTCATAAAGCTTTTATTTTAGTGAGGAAAGGCAGATAAAAAACAAACAAGCAAATAATATTGTCAGATGGTATCAAGTGCTACAAAGAAAAAATCAAGCAGGGTAGAGATGGTGACAGTCACTGATGGAACAAAAGCCATGAGGAGATGACATTTTTGCACAGACCTGAGTGAAGTAGCAGACCAAAGCTTAGGACTAGCTGGAGGAAGTGCATCCTTTACCTGGGACACAGGGAGAAGGTTGTGGGGCAGTGTTTCACACATTTGAGGCAAGAGACACTGCAAGAGAGCTATGTGCGTGAGACAGAGTGGCAGAAGGGATTATGGTAAAAGACGGGATCTGAGCGACAGCAGGAGCCACGTGGTATGGGGCTTCGTAAGGACTACAAAATCTGGATTTCCTCCTGTGTGAAATGGAGATCCATTGGAAGGTCACGGAGCAGAGTAGCAAGATCTTTTTCAAAAAGGGTAATTCTAGATTTAGTGTGTAGACTAGCCTGTGATGTTCAAGAGAAGAATTAAGGAAGACCAGAAAGGATGCTATTGCTCACACACTGGCAATATCTGGGAATTATATACGGGCAGAGATGCTGGCAGGGGACAGGGTAATAGCCATGCTGGAGGAAAAAATGATTGGATTTGGGATATTTTATGAAGGGAAATGTGACAAGATATGCTGATGGACTAGATGTGGAATATAAGGAGAGAAGAGTCAAGGATGACTAGCAAATTTTGCTCTGAGCAATTGGGAGGACAGGATTGCTATCTACTGAGTTGGAGAAGCCTAGGGAAGAGCAAGTTCAGGAATAAAGAGAACCAGCCCAGCACTGAGGGCTTTTGTTGTTGTTGAGCAAATATTTTACAGAGTAAACTCATTAAGCCAATTTAATCCCTTGGTTCAAATTTAAAATGGCAAAGTTGGTTTGTTTCCTACTTTTTTCCATTTCCCTGAAGTTATTTTCAAGATTCTTTTCTATGCAAAAATTACAACAAAGTTCTGAATTACTCATCAGTTTTTGTCTAGAGTAGAACCGTACTGATTATAGCTGCTGCCAATTTGAGTCTTCTTTGTTGACCATTATTGCCAGCATGTCTTATTTTTCTGGGTGTACTTTTCACTGCTGTCAATTTTATTTTACATAGGTTATTTCCAGCACTATCTTCCCCTAACAATTTTCAATTTTACCTCTAAGATGTGAATTTGAATCAGTTTATAACAAATTTTACCATGTAAAGCTTAAGCTGTTGTAGGCTTCACTGTGGATTATTTCTATCAGTATTATTACTGTGAAGTAAACAAAATTCTAATGGCTGACAAACTTATTTCTTAGAGAAGAGCTTTAGGTGCATGCAACGTGTGGCAGTTCTTTGATAGCACATTCAAACTCGACAAGTGGTAGCTTTTTAAAGGCTAGTTGTAATGTGAAACCAGAAACTGTATCAGAATCCGTTGATCTATCCTGTAATTTGAATGGATCCTTCACTTGTCAGTGATTTCGTAATATCACACTGGCCCACTGAGTGAGGTACATCTTTTATATGTTGACATGTTTCATCATACCATATCATTACATGGCAGGCAGCCCCTGGGGGAAAAAGGGCAATGAACATTTCAGTATTATTAGAAAATGGTTTTGACCTTGCTGACCCTCTGTGAAGAGTCCCCAGAAGATACTCTGAAAGCCTCTGGATTATGGTACCTCTTACTAAGGAACTGGGCGTCACTGTTCCAGGTCTCATCACCCCTCCACAACTCGTTGTTAGCTGGCTTTCTTCTGCACTCCCGTAACACTCTACACAGCCATCTGTTAGAGACCTTACCACCGTATTGTGACTGTGAGATGATCTGACTATCTCCCACTAGATTTAAAGCTACCTGAAAGTTGCAAGGATCTTTTATTTCTGTACCTTCAGAACCTAGCATATACATTTGATTGATTTATTTTTTAAAAGATTTTATTTGAGAGAGATAGAGAGAGCATGCGCGAGAGCACAAGTAGCGGAGAGGGAGAAGCAGGCTGCCCATCGAGCAGGGAGCCCGATGCGGGGCTCCATCCCAGGACCATGGTATCATGACCTGAGCTGAAGGCAGCCGCTTAACCGACTGAGCCACCCGGGCGCCCCTATACATTTGATTTAAATAGGTTTGATGGATCCGCAAATGAACTGTAAATCAAACATACCTCTCCCATCTGTTGTTCAATAATTTGATGTGCAATTTCTTCTATGGTTGCCATGTTCTAATTGCCAAAATGTCCTGCCAGAATAAAAAGATGCCCTTTCACAATTGTACTCATAAAACATATATACTGAAGAATTTACAAATGAAATCACATGATAGCTAAGATTTATTTCAAAATAATCCAGTTGGGGTGGGTGGGGGAAGGACAGAATAAACAAAACAAGACTGGCCATGCACTGACAATTATTGAAAACTGATGAAGTTTATAGAGGGGTTCATGAAATTATTCTTTTATATATTTTGAAAATATCTATTTACTTGACACACTCTTTTATAAATATACTGTAAAAACTGACAAAAGAATTGCATTCGTTCAGAAGGAAAGATTTCTCCAGAATTATGTGACTGTTCATTAGTGGCAGTTTCTTAAATATTAAGGTTAATTTGCATTTAAGGTAAAACTTTCTCCAAATGGACTTGAGAGACTGAAAGATTAATGCATTGACTTTGACTTTTGCTTTTTCTATCAGACAAGAACACAAAAATTATTTCTGACTTTGTCACATTATATAATATCTGTCATAAATTCACTTTGGTTGTACTAAAAGCAATGCTCAATATTTAGCTTTATTCAACTATTTCTCACTAGATTGAAAAGCAGTGGCTTCACCCTCTCTGGAACCAACTGAGGAAACAGAGCTGCTCCCTGGGCCTGAGTCCTCTAGGCCTCCACCCCCATGAATTGCAGGGAAGGCAGTAAGATTTCTGAGAATTTTATATCAGCAGAAACGATGCCAGCTTGGAATGAAGGAGACACAGATGGGATGAAATGAAGAAAAATTTTCGGACTTGTGTGATTCTTCTAGATGGGCCAGTAGAGCTATTCAGTTTCAAACATCTGTTATCCTTCAAGGAAAGGGGAGAAAGATTCAAAGATGGGTCAGAGGCCCGACTAAGCCACCCAGGTGCCCCTTTATTATTATTAAGATTTATTTATTATTTGAGAGAGAGAGTGCCCATGCGTGGAGAGAGGGGCAGAGGGAGAGAATTTTCAAGCAGGCTCCCAGCTGAGCACTGAGCACGAAGCACCAAGCAGAGCTTGATCCCACAACCCATGAGATCATGACCTGAGCTGAAACCAGTGTCCGACACCCAACCAACTGAGCCACCCAGGCGCCCCTAATGTTTATTATTTCTATCAACATTCTGTTCACGAAGCTATCTGTGTATCTCTTAAGAGAACGGCTCTTCTACAGTTCTCTTTTCTTTCTGAACCCTCACCAAAATTGCCTTTGGCATCCATATTTCTACGAACAATCTCTTCAAGGCAATTCCGGCTTTCTCTAGCATGCATCTCAAAACTCTTCCAGCCTCTATCCATTTCCCAGTTCTAAATTTTTAGGCATTTGTTACAGCAGCACCCTACTTTCCAGTACCAAAATCCATATTGGTTTGCTAGGGCTGACATAACAAAGGCTAACAGGACTACTTCTCGCTGGGTAGTTCAAACAACAAAAATTAATTTTCTCACGGGGGCGCCTGGTTGGCTCAGTCAGTTGAGCAACTGACTCTTGGTTTCTGCTCAGGTCATGATATCAGGGTCATGAGATCAAACACCATGCTCAGCTCAAGAGTCTCCTGGAGATTTTCTCCCTCTACCCCTCTCCCCTCCCCGAGCTTGCATGAGCTCTCTAAAATAAATTTTTAAAAAATTAATTTTCTCACAATTCTGGAGGCTAGAACTCTGAGACAAGCTGTCAAATAGGGATGGTTTCTGAGACCTATCTCCTTGGCTTTTAGATGGCTGTCTTCTCTTTGTCTCTTCACATGTCTTCCCTCTGTGCCTGTGTTGTAATCTCTTTTAATAGGGATAACAGTCACATTGGATTGGGGCCTACCCTAATGACCTCATTTTAACTCAGTTATCTCTTTAAAGGCCTCATGGCCTTTAAATACAGTCACATTCTGAGGTACTGGGGGCCAGGACTTCAATATGAATTCGGGGGGGGGGGGGCAGCCCATAACACTTAGGCACAAATCTAATAGGAAACACGCACGATATATGTAAGGAAAGCTTTAAAATGTTACCTAGAGAGAAGAAAAACTAGCTGAATGAACACCAAAGAAAATGATTATAGTGACTACCTCCAGGGAGAACTGGAAGTTTTGGAACAGGGGTAGAATGCAGACTTATTTTTCACGGACTAAGTAAGTGTCTGTTTCTTCTAAATTTTACCTACAAGTATTACCATACACAAAAAATTCATTTTAAGTAGAAAACAAAAAGCCAGTTTAAAGGAATCTTTTCCAGAAATCCTAAAATCAACAGTGTTATCAGCACATCAGACCCAAAGAAGCTACTTCATAATGAAAACTTTGGCAGATAAACTATTTATATATATTATAGTTTGACTACTTAAAAGTGTATGAATAGAAAGGACTGAAGTCAAATCTCAGTGCTATTATATGAGCAAACAGTTACACTAAATCAACTATCATTTTAGCCAGAGACCAAAGAGTATTAGGGTATTATGTGTGATGCACCTATGTGCATGGTATACATATATGAATGCATAGGTTCATGCTTAATTGTATACTTTGTCATCAGCAATGCTACAGGTAGTACAATGCTAAAGGATTTGAATGTTAATATGCTTGGAATAGTATTCTTGAGTACTGAATTCAGGGATACTCGGATTTTTTTTTTTCTTTTTTGCTTCTGAAGAAAAGAGCAGGAAATGATACCGGATTCCTAACTTCTGGAGTTACAAACTCTAAGCTTAGAGAATCTGACAAAAGCTATACACCCTCTTCAGAAAAACGTACACATGCATGTATTTGGTAGATTCCATTTTGTGATCCAATACATCAATTTTCTACTTCTTTCTATTTATTTTTGGAGGGAAAGGGGCACAGGGAGAGGTAAAGAAAATCTTAAGTAGGCTCCCTGCCTAGCACAGAGCCCAATGTGGAGCTCGATCTCACAACCCTGAGATTATGACCTGAGCTAAAATCAAGAGTCGAATGCTTAATTGACTGAGCCACCCAGGTGCCTCTTTCTACTTCTTTGTATATAAACTTTCCGCATTACTGCAGTTGTCTAGAGCCCTTATCTCATATTGTTTTATAGATCCATATAATCCAAACTGGTTAGCAAACCAATGCTTAGGGAAATTTTTTGAAATACTTACCTCAATGAGCATATACCTAAATTTGTATTGAGTGAAACAAATGAGAGGAATTTAGGGAATAGATTTGACCAGAAAGGTGGACTAAGAACAATTTTCCCCTTTGGACCCCTCTCAAACCAAACATAGATATGTATGGTGCATACGTTGCAATATGAAACTACTTACCTATCCTACTTGTAAAGCCTGTTATGTGCCTTAAAGCCAGCTTATTAAGTTTCGAGTCTAGAAAGGCACAGACACAATGATATAAAGTCAAATCTGTAATCTCATTTTCATTATTACTTATTTTTCTCATTAAACTATCAAGGAATACAATACATATTTATGTGTAAATAAATCCACAAAATAATTCAAATACATCATATAATCTTGTTCATTAAAATTTTTTTCCACCATTTGCAAAAGAGAGGCAGACTATCTAAATTAATCACAAATTATGGGGTGCCTGGGCAGCTCAGTTGGTTAAGCATCAGACTCTTGATTTTGGCTCAGGTCATGATCTCATGATTGTGAGATGGAGCCCTGTGTCGGCTCCACACTGGGCATGGAGCCTGCTTAAGACTCTCTCCCTCTGCCTGCCCCCCTCCCTCGTGTGCTCTCTCTCACTCTAAAACAATAAATAAATAAATTACAAATTGTATCCAAATGTATTAAGTTTTACTAAAATTTAGAAATTCCCAGAGGATAGGATTATTCACTCTGATAAATGAAAGTATTTACAAGGGGAAAATGTTAAAAATGGGTAAGAATGAAGTAGGTATTTGGCATAAAATTAGGCATTTATGATAATGCATTTAGTCACTTTGGTTGTGCTAAAAGCTCAACTACGGCTAGTTTAAGCAAAAAGGCAGGGGGTGGGAGAAACAAGATACACACAGCTAGGACCAAGCAGAGCTGACCTTGGGAAAAACTGGAGCTTGGGTTTGTGATGCTGTCAGGAGTCTCCTTATCTCTATGTTCTTTTATTATCTCTATTCTATTATTTTTATTATCTCTATTCTCACCTATGTGGCTTATTTTCTACTTTGTAGTAAAGCACCAGGAAAGGAAAAGCAGTCTTCTCTAATCACAGTTTTAAAATTTGGTTAATAGATTCTGATTGGCCAGCTTAGGTTATGTGCTTATCTCTGGAATTAATCACTGTAGGCAGGCCAGGAAGAGGGAAAGGAAGGATTGGCAACTTCCACTTTTGGAAGGTCTATTTACCAAAAGATGGGAGATTAGCATAGACATGGCTATTGATACAATCATCATGAGCCAGGCAACCACTTCAATTTGTTTCTACTATTGATACACAGAATTCTTCAATCAGAAGTCCACTGAACACTAAGCTGCTCAAAAAGCTTACTTTGGCATTGATTCTAATTTTCTGTTGTCAGTTGGAGAAATCCCCCCCCCAAAAGAAGGGTAAAAAACCCTTATACTTATAAAATATTCTATCAAGAGTTCTCCTTTTGGCTACTTCCAGATCAAAGTCCTTCTAATTTCTTGCTCTGTGAGCTTAGTAAAAGACAAATTTAGTTTTATAGCCATATTGTTTTAAAACAACCTCCACAGTTTCTAGAGAATTCACAGAATAAATTAATTTTGAATTTTTTCTAAACATAACAAAACGTTTTTGTTTTGTTTTAAGATGATAAAAAGGCATAAGGAGCAAGGGCAAGGCAGCTTTTAATCCTCCATATTAAAAACTTGAGGCCTGGAGCCTTAAGGACTGGAAGCCGTTAGACTTCCTCATGAAACAAAAAGATATTAGGCGTTATCAATTACCCTGATATATTGATAAACAGAATCTTTCTGATGAGGAGAGACTACTGACATTAGAAAAGAATCAAATTAGTTTTGGGTTACCAGTCCAGATTTTATTCCCAGCTTTCAAGTTAA